TGCGTATTATTCAGTATCCAGAGACGGTGTATTTGGTTTTGTGTTTTGTGAAATAGTTTTTGAGATAACAAAGTACGAAAACTTATTTGGTTGCCTTCTTCTCAGAATGATTGTTGGAAAATATTTTTGGGGAAGAGTTTTACAAAAAAGTGATTATTGATGATGGTATGAGAGAGAAAGTTATTTTGGAAAGTAGGTAACCCAAACAAAATTTTGAGATTTTTTTGGAAAATTTTTGTTTGGTTTGATTACTTTCGAAAATTTGTTTGTAGAGAAAATTTCCCAAATTTTTTATGAAAAACAAACCAATCAGCCCATTATTTCTATTGATTTGAATCCATAACACTGCGAATTACAATAGATTTATTTTATTTATATTATTATCAGCATAATAAACAAACCCTTACCAATTGCGGCAAGGGTTCCTCCCTCCCTCAATATGATCCAATTTTTAAACCCGGCATTCACTCATCAATAATTAAATAAATAAGATAATGATAATGACTTACACAATCGTTAATTTAGGCAATGATTTATCGTAACCCATGTAAGCTGGACCAATTTTTAAAAACACTTTTTTGGTTTTCTTTTCAATAAGATCTTGATCTATTTTTAGTATTTTGAATAAAATAGACAGATATATCACACATTTAAAAAAACACTTCATTCTATCCAGTATTTTTCTTATTCAGTAAGATTGGACAAATTGGAAAGTCATACAAACATCTTAATCAAATAGTGTAAGTTTTGTATGAAATTATTATTTTTTTCATTGAGTTGAAATAACTCAATTGATTGGGACAATATAAAATAGAGGTTTCAAACATTGTTCTTATTTTTTAAAACTAGTGATCCAATTCTTTTAGATTTTATAGATAATTAAAAATAAGTTAAATTTGATTTGCTCAAACTTGTGCCATTAGGGACCGTAATGACAAAGTTATTTCCTATGGTGAAATAGTAACCCTCGTCCACTTTTTAGAGGTCATAGAGGCTTTGTTATATGAAAATTCAAACAAAAAGCTCATTTTGGCTTGTTCTGAAAAGTAAGAAAAAAATTTATTTTATTTAATCTTTTTTTTTTCCTTAAACATACAAAATAAAAAATAAAATAGAGAGATAATTTATAATGGCCAAAAAAATAGCGAGAAAATTTATGTTGGTGGTTAAATCTATGTAGTAAATTTTGGATAGTTATCCATGTGGATCTATTGGGCCATCCGTAGCAATTATTTGGTATTATGAAACAACAGGCTTTACCCATCAAGTGTCAATTTTTTTTTTTCCTTCTTACCTAGAAATTTCTATTGGACTATTAATTCAGAAATGTTTTAAGACTCTTTTCATGCATATATTATAACTAGTGTATGTCTGTACCTGATGGCACGGTGCAATTAATAATGACTTCTAATTATATAAATCAAAGTAAAATTATTAAAAACATAATGTTAAGATTTCCTTTTCAATGGCGGTGGACATTACAAAGCGGAAGTGGCGATGAGTCCGCTTCGTTCAATACCCATTTCAAAAACTTTTTCAAATTATTTCTTAAGTTTTGTGAGGAAATTTTAATTTCTACTTATAATGCTATTATATGTATTACAAATTCAGCTCATTAATTTTTTTAAATTTCTACTGCAAGATTATAAAATTAAATGTTAGTATTTTATGATGAATGTCTTCAAATTATTCTAATTCAAAGTTAATATTTTTTATAAAAATTATTAATTTTATTGAATGTATATTAAAAATAATACATGATTATAGCGGTTTGGTTTGATTTTTTAAAATTATTTTGATTTTTTTGAAAAAATATAAATAATTTGACAAAAGTAAATTGTTTGGTTTGATTTTCCAAATGATTGTGGAAGAATGTGGCTCCTCCCAAAATTCAGTTTTTTTTGTTGGTTAGCTTAGAGGGGTAGAGTGCAATTCCGGTCTAATACAATTTACAAGTGTTTATGTGCTTATATGCAGACACCTGCAAAACGCTATGTCCTAAAGTATGGATTTAGGTAGTTAACAACTAAGTGGAAACCTTTAGCGAAACCCAATGAAAATAATCTAAGAATTTTTTATAATATTTTGGGTGCCTAACCCAATACAGTGAAATAATAAACGAAACTAAACCAATAAAGCTTTATGTCCCAATTAAGTGGGCTACGATACGCGAATCCTTTTTTCATCATTTCGACTATTAAAGCTATATGCGCGGGTTAAATTTAAATAAATTCGTTTATTTTTTTTTACTATCACATCTCAAGTCAATTTACGTCTTTCCCTAACATTTCCTTTTCGGTGATCCTATCACATTCTCTCTACCATTTCATCTGCATAGTCTTCAATTGTACATACCAAAACCATCTTAGTTTGTTCTCTCTCAACATATTTCAGTTGGGCTACTCCTACCATTAAATGTATATTCATTTCTATTTCTCTCTGTCACTTACCAAAACACCCACCTTAGCATCCTCATCTTAACTACACTCATTTCATGAGCTTTGTGTTCTTAATTGTCCAATATTATGTGAACTGCAAAGTATTCATGGTCTTACAATTGTTTTTATAAATTAACAACGTCAATTTTGTTAGCATCATTGATCACATAATATGCCAAAGCACTCCACTTGAAACTATTTGATTCTATTACAGATGGGTTTTTCTAACACAACATGAATCGTACACGAAGTTAGGGTTAGGGTTGAACATTTTCAACACAAACACAATATGACACTATATAATAACATGATAAATAAATAGGGTTATGTCAAACCTGCATAATATGAAATTGACACAGATAACCCATTTATTAGATAATTAGTTACAAATTTTAATATTATTTTCATTAAAGGATGCCAGAAATATTTAAATCTCTTATGTAACCTACACAATTAAATAAGAAAATAATGTAAAATAGTATTTTGAGGTTAATACAGTCATTTTGTCTTTTATTTGAGAGAACATGATCTTTCATTTTTATTATTTTGAAGTCAATAAAAATATATTTTTTTTGAAATAAAATAGAGTCCAAAATTAAATATATATTTTTTGAATAATTTCATTTGCAGAGATTAGTTTCATGAAATTTAATCTTAGGAAAAAACGTTAATCTTTCCATACACTTAGTATTTTTAATTGAAATTCATATTTGTCATTTTTTTTTGAAAGATAAATTTGACTTAACCTCCTTTACTTTACTCCATGTGTGATTTACCTCTGATATTTGAAAATAAGAACATAACCCTCTTATGACCTAGCACATGTTTCACACTTGATGTTAACTTAGATTGAACGTCTGACAGTATACTTCATTTAGTCACAAACTACAAGAACATTATAATTATTTCCAAATTATAAGGGTAGTTTGCACATGCACATTGAAGTGAAATTTGCCCTTTGTTGAATATACACAATGTCTTGATTGAATAAATACACTTAGAGGGTAAAATAGTATAGTGAAATAAATCAGGTGACAAATACCATTTCTCATATAGTAAATAGACGGTAGATTCAAGTATACAACCCCACCTTGATATTACCAAGTGAAATACTGAATAAAGGTGTATATATATCTGTAGTACTATTATAAAGAGAAGTCTTCTTTGGGTGTTTATGTCTCATATTTTGGGTTTTTCAAAAATACCCCTATATCAGTTATATGGGCAGTTATGCACTAAATTCAATTTTTTTTTTTTTTTCAAATCTCTCAACTTTTGAATTTTTCAGATTCATTTCAATTTTCAGATTTTGAATTCAATCATACAATTTACAGTCTTATTTTCTGAAACAAAATGATCATATATATGTAAGCATGTGGACCTCGAATTGAAATTGCCAGTCCACCTTAATTCTCAATTCATGAATTTCATAATATGAATTTCAATTATCAATTCTCAATTCTCAATTATATGAATTTCATAATATGACATTAACAATTCTCAATTATATGAATTTCGATTCGCATAATTTTATTCTTAATTAAAAAAAATTCCTTTTATTAGCAAGCAAAAAATAAAATTTCCAATTCAACAAATATAGGTTGGTTTATTCACAATTCAAAATTTCAAACCCAAATTTCAAAAAATATAGACAGGATTCATAATTCACAATGCAAAAAATAAAGACACGATTCAAAATTCAAAACCCTAGTTTCTGAAACCACAAGCATAATTTCTAATTTCACAATTCAAAACCCTAACATTTTATGATTTCATAATTTCATAACCACACATTTAAAACCCTAACACATTTAACCACACATTTCATAATTCAAAACCCTAACACATTTATGATTTCATAACCCTAATTTCTAATTTCATAATTTATGATTTCACATTCAATTGAAAACCCTACAAAATTTTCACAATTCAAAACCACAACATTTTTTACCAATTCAAAACCACACATTCACAAACACAATAAACACATAAAATTCAAATGAGACAGAGAGAGATAGATGCCATACCACGAACAGAGAGAGAGCAGAGAGAGAGTGAGAGCAGAGAGAGTCTGAGAGCAGAGGGAGAGCGGGAGCGAGAGTGAGAGTCTGAGAGCAGAGGGAGAGCGAGAGTCTCAGAACAGAGCAAAGGGGAGAGCGAGAGCAAGAGTCGAAAAAAACGTAAGTGTAAAAAATGTGGTTGCAAATGAGGGGGCTTGGGGATTTTATATAAGTTGTAAAAGTGTGGTTGCAATCCACACTTTCATTTATCAACAGTGAAAGCGTGATTGTGAATCACGTTTTCTTAAGAAAACAAATATGCACAATGAAAGCATGGATTGGAACTACGTTTTCTTCAAAAAAACAAAAACAAAATAAGCATAGTAAAATCGTAGTTTGAAATCACGTTTTATGAAGAAAACAAATTTATCTTAAAAGCGTTTCTTAATTAAAAGCATGATTTGTAATAACACTATCACTATTTTACAAATTTTCTACTTTAAACAATAAAAATGTGATTTGTAATAGCAATTTAACCTTATTTGAAAATCCCGTCCAAACTGGCTGGGAAAAGCCTCTATTATACAGAGCGAAACCTTTTTGTTTCGATAGAGTAGAGGCGGTGGTCTGGTCTTTAACTAGAATTGAGAGCAAGAATCTGTATTGATACAGATATGGCAACACAAGCGCAGCAACAACAACAGTGGATGGTGAGCGCTCAGGCTCAAACCCATTATCATCCTCCTTCAACAGCAACACCTACTAGTGCTTCTTCATCATCACTACCCTATCATCAACCCACCACTCTCGAAGAAGTTCGTACCCTCTGGATTGGCGATCTAGAAAATTTGCACAATTCAAAACCACAACATTTTACCAATTCAAAATCACACATTCACATTTTCACAAATACAATAAACACATAAAATTCAAATGAGACAGAGAGAGATAGATGCCATACCAACGAGAGAGAGCAAACCACGAACAGAGAGAGAGAGAGTGAGAGCAGAGAAAGAGTCTGAAAGCAGAGGGAGAGCGAGAGCGAGAGTCTGAGAGCGAGAGTAAAAAAAAACGTAAGTGTAAAAAACGTGGTTGCAAATGAGAGGGCTTGGGGATTTTATATAAGTTGTAAAAGTATGGTTGCAATCCACGCTTTCATTTATCAATAGTGAAAGCGTGATTGTGAATCACGTTTTCTTAAGAAAACAAATATGCACAATGAAAGCATGGTTTGAAACCACGTTTTCTTAAAAAAAAAACAAAAACGAAATAAACATAGTAAAATCGTAGTTTGAAATCACGTTTTATGAAGAAAACAAATTTATCTTAAAAACGTTTCTTAATTAAAAACGTGATTTGTAATAACACTTTCACTATTTTACAAAATTTCTACTTTAACAATAAAAACGTGATTTATTTGGAAACCCCGTCCAAACTGGCTCTTAATTTGGGAAAAGCCTCTATTATACAGAGCGAAACCTTTTTGTTTCGATAGAGTAGAGGCGGTGGTCTGGTCTTTAACTAGAATTGAGAGCAAGAATCTGAATTGATACAGATATGGCAACACAAGCGCAGCAACAACAACAGTGGATGGTGAGCGCTCAGGCCCAAACCCATTATCATCCTCCTTCAACAGCAACACCTACTAGTGCTTCTTCATCATCACTACCCTATCATCAACCCACCACTCTCGAAGAAGTTCGTACCCTCTGGATTGGCGATTTACAGTACTGGGTCGAAGAGTCCTACCTCCATAATTGCTTCTCTCACACTGGAGAGGTTTTCTTTCTATCTCTTTATCCTTATGCATTTCTTTTATGTTTTATTCAATTCGTTTAGGGCTTCACTAGTTTATTGTTTATTAAATCAATATTAGTGTTGTTGGAGATATGGGTTTTATTAGATTCGTATCAATTTTGATTGGATTCGATGCTAAATTGAGGTTTGATTGAGTTGTCAAGCTATTACAATTCAAGTTATGTATTAATGCACCAAACCAATTGATGGTTTGAAAACACCTATATGGTTCCTGGAATTGTATAATGCATACATACTAATGAAATTTTTTGAAGGTTGTTTATGCATTGGTTCTAGATGTGTTGAAAGGGTACAGTATAATGGTTCATGATTACGAATGGGTGTGACTCTCTTTTTTATTTTATTTCATTATCTGCATACCATTTGGAGTTTCATAATTCTCTGCAGATGTACTGTCTGTCTGCCTAAAGTACTGGACTTTTATTCTCATGTGTATTGTAGGGGCTTTTTGGTAGATAAAAAGAGGGGGTTTAATTTCTGTGCAATGTGACTCAGCATGTGCACCTGCACCTGCTGATTGATTGATTGTATGGGATCTTCACAAATTGAACACCTGACAACTTGATTTAATATTATACCAGTAAAAGAGAATGAGAGGAAATACTTAAAAGCAATCAGACCATTGGTATCTTGTGCGACTCAAGTTAGTAAAAATATTGCTATCAGCCAGTCTCTTGGAGCATTTATCTTACAATACTTGCTTACATATGTTGAGGATGAAAAAGAATAACACTAAATAGTATAACAATACAGCATTGGTCGTTCCATGCCCATGGGTCATTCTTAACTTCAGCATAGGGCAGGGCTTGCAGGCTTAAACTTCTTGGATAGGGTTTCCCGAATAAAGACTACGAACAGATTGTTGGGATATTCTAGAATTGAGATGAAGGCTTTATAATTTTCAATAATATATATTTAGGAACATGAGTGACAGTTAACAAACAATCTTTGGTTCTTTTAAACTTTTGGGGAAATGTATGGAGTGGATTTTTGGCTGTTGGACCAAGTGTGCTATAAAGGCATGCTTGTCTTTCATGGTGAATAATTGAAACTGAAAATAAGTTTAAGGTTCAATTTGTATAATGGTTTAGGATGTCAGAAACAAATTGGCAATGGTAAAGAAACTTCAGGTTTTATTAAGAGAATGGCATGGAAGACATATGTTTGGAATTGCTTACCACATTCGAGGTCTTCACTGGAGTTTTAATTTGTTAGTTGATCAAATTTACATTGGTATTGGTAAAACATGTCGGTGGTGTTAGAGGGAAGTAGTCTAGCATGCGTTGTAGAGGACCATTAAAAGTTCATGTGCTTCCTTGGCATGAGGCATGAGGTGTGAGGCATGGTCTCTAAGGGACCTTATGTCTAGGTGGCAAGCTCTGAATAATTTTAAGAGACTCTTAGGAACCCATGAATTCTCTCAATGGGATGTATGACATCTTGCCTAAGGAGCTTTATGATTTTAGAAAAAATATGAATAAATCTCTTGCTCTCTAGGTTGGCTAGGGCATAGAACCCACGAGGGTTGAACTGCCTTGGTGAACCCGAAAATCTAGCTACCAAGTCATATAAACCTAGTTATCCCCAAAATTTGAATATATTTGACAGTCCAAAGCCTTTCTTCTAGCCTAGGTGGTGAGACTTGAGCTATGTTATGTGGACTCGGGTATGATATTATGTGTGGGTGTGTGTGCCACGGAATCAGGCATCCCTAAATTCTTAAACTTAGGATATAGGGATATTTATTCAAAAATTAGGTACGGGTACATATATCCTGAACATTAAAATACATTTTAGACTGTATAATATTTTGATACAAGATTTTGTTATCATTTAGGAATGTATTCAAAATTAAATGGGATTTAGATCGAAAAGGGTTTCTATCTCCAATATATGTGAATAATAGGTCATAACTTTTCTTCATTGTCAAATGTGAACACCTTCTTCATATATTGTAAAATATTAGAGGATTTAAGTGTTTACTTTGGGTACAGGGATGGATACATATCCCATACCTTACCATCAAGTGCTTTGCCCTTATGGTCGTGGCTTGACCTGACAAGGGGGGTTACTGAAATAACCATTATCATGACTCATTAGATAGGAGATCCGTATGTTTGATATGCTAGCTGGCATGTTGTCGTCTTGGATTACATGTCATGGACACTGTCCAGGGTGTATTATTTGCCTACAAGAAGCTAATATGGCAGCTGATACGTAGGTAAATATTGGATACAATCTTGATAGGTTGAGCGTGTGGAGTGGATGGTTTCTTTCTAGCATAGACAGATTCATTCTGACGATTCAAGAGGAGTTTCTCTTCCCTATCTGATTAATAGATTATGATTTACCCCTTTTTGCTCATTCTATTTAATTTGAAATAATTAATCTCAAGGACCTGTGTAAAATGTTTGTAGACTGGGAGGAAATGAAGACACTTCTGTCTGTTTTTCTAAGTTTTTTTTTATATTTGATCGATTTCAAATTTCGATAGAAGCATATTTTCACCAAAAGATTAGACACTGAATTTCACTTCTCAAAGTTTGAATTTTTAACTATAAGCTTTTCCATCGTGAGAAATGAATACTTAACCATTACAAGAGCAAAACTTCCAAGTAAAAGTTTAAGGACTGCAGAAAATATATTAAGGTTAATCAACCTAGACGGTATTATGCTAGCCCAAACATAGTTTATTCAAATTGCTTTGGACCTTGCTTTTTGTGTGCACACATAGATTTTAATGTAACTTTCACAATTGGAAACTTATTTTCAATGGGTTTCTGTTAGCATTGGATTTCTTTTTGGGGAAAAAGACGCCAGGGCGAAGACACGGTGTTCAATTTACTACTTTGGACATCAATTATGATGGATAGGGCTTTCTTTAATGGCCACCTGTTTACAGTGGCACATGTTATCCGCCTCTATCCCTGCTAATTTTAGGCATGGAACCTTCGGTGCACAGTTATATTTCTAGTGAGCTGATCTTTACACACGTTCACCTTGGAACAAGTTGAAAGAAGTGATTTTCACTAATGCATATAGCAGTTAGATTAAATGGATCACCGTCCTCTATGCAGGTGGTTTCGATAAAGGTAATACGTAACAAGATCACTAGTCAGCCAGAGGGTTACGGATTTGTGGAGTTCAATTCACATGCAGCAGCTGAAAGGGTTTTGCAGACATACAATGGGACACAAATGCCTGGAACTGAGCAAACTTTTAGGTTAAATTGGGCTTCCTTTGGGATTGGAGAAAGACGCCCTGATGCTGGGCCAGAGCACTCTATCTTTGTGGGGGATTTAGCACCTGATGTTACAGATTACTTGTTGCAAGAGACCTTTCGAACTCAATATCCATCTGTTAGAGGTGCCAAGGTCGTGACTGACCCAAATACTGGGCGCTCAAAGGGATATGGTTTTGTTAAATTTGCTGATGAAATGGAAAGAAACCGTGCTATGTCTGAAATGAATGGTGTCTATTGCTCAACTAGGCAAATGCGTATCAGTGCAGCAACACCGAAGAAGACCACTGGCTTTCAACAGCAATATGCAGCAGCTAGAGGTAATATTCAATCTTATTGTAATAGAACCAAACCTAACTTGCAAATTGTTGATTCATTTGCATGTGAAAATTAATTGTCCGTATGAGGTTGTGATTACGTATTGTTGTAATCTTCTGTATAATGTTGTCCTCTTGAAGCCTTAATCTTGTTCGAAGCTCTCTTTTCTCTTTCTAGTGAAGTGCTTTTTTTTTTGGGTATATATGTTGATAAGTTTTTTTTGGTAGTGCATATAATATATTTCAATGGGCCATTGGTTTAGTAGTTAAAACTCAACATATCAACTTTGAGGTTGTGGGTTCAAATATGAGTGCAGCCACTTTGTGCAGTTAATGCCAAAAGGTTAGGTCTGTAGCCCAATCTTTTTCTATTGGACCATCGTCCACTAGGGACTAAACTGGGCGTATGTTTCTTTTTTATTTTTGTAGTATTATATATATATGTCCATAATATGTCAGGTAGTGGGAATGTGAATTGACTAATTGAAATACATGTCACGGACACTTATATGGAAGAGACGTGTCATGTTGGACCTCGTGTCAGACACTGACACTCTGTGAACACTTCTAAAAATATGTCCACCACTTTTTCAATGTGTCTTCAAAAAATTTAAATAATAACATCAAACACTTTAAAGACACTTTGCGGACACTTCGGTGAACCTTTCGAGCACTATTTTTATGATGAATCTCTGCATAGTCTGCATTTTTGGGAAAGTAACTCGTGCACTCTAAATATGTTTTAAAATATTTCTAAGATTGATACATCACATTTGTATTTCAATGTTCTATAATAGTTTCACATTTTACATTTTAAGAATGCAATTGTTTTGTGAATGATATCGTGATGTTTAAGTTGTGAAATATATGACCTTTTAATTTTAGTTAGTGTTATGTTGCATTTTTTATTAGCTTTGAATAAATCATTCATATATTTGATTTTATAATAAATTTATAAAGATATAATTTTTTAACATGCCTCAAGTGTCATGCCTTGCCTTTTTATTTTTATTATGAAAAATGCCATGTCCACGCCATGTGCACAAGAATGTTTGACTAGAAGTAAAAAATGAAGCTTGGAAGATGATGCACATGACTGCTCCTGATTTTAACTTTGAAATGCTTATTTTTTTAAAAACTTGGCAAAACAGTAAGAATGCTCTGCATATTGATGTCAATGGATAATAGATATGTTGAGCTCCTTGAACACATATATATCACAGTTGAGTGACTTGTCATTATCGTGAAAAAAAATTGAAGTAATATTGAGAACTATGTGAAATTTATGATCAAACTTAGAGGTAGTAAAACTGTAAAGGAAAAGTACAATTATCAGTGACAAAGCAACAACTTGGATATTGACGTGCAAATGATGGAATAATAAAGAAGCTAAAGAGATTAAAAGAAGCGACATATGCTACAGCAAAATGTTTAACCTACTAATAAAATTGATGTACCAATAATAAGACGTTTGAAACAATATAAATACAGTATGTACAAGAAGTAAATGTTTTGTTGGCAATATCAAATGTTATCTTGGTATGTTGTGATGTTTGTTGTTAATATTTTGATAATATCAAGGATGTAATGTTGTATTGGTCAATGGCTTGATCTATCAATAGAGAATCAACAATTTGAGAGCACCGGTATAACTATCTTTCCATTTTCCATATGTATTGGATAATTGTTTTTTTGAAAAGCAAATATATTTTGGATGTATTAATACATATATACACATATTTACTACATATTATAATTCCTTGTACAAGAAAAAAGCTGGACTTCCAGATGCATAATTCTCACTCTTTAGTTGATTCTTTAGTACTTTGATTTATCAAGATGAATGTGCACTGATCTTACATCTTTTGGTAGCTTTATATCCACCTCCAGCTTACACGCCAGCAGTGCAGACAATTCCAGTGGATAATGATATTAATAACACTACAGTAAGTCCAACACTTTGAGTTATTTATGCTTCATAAGTTCCATTTTTTTTTTTTATCTAATGTGTTTTTATTTTGCAGGTTTTTATTGGAAACCTGGACCCCAATGTCACAGAAGAGGAACTGAGGCAAATATTTTTGCAGTTTGGGGAAATTATCTATGTGAAGATCCCCACATCAAGAGGATGTGGTTTTGTGCAGTTTGCAGCTAGGTTCGTCAGGCTTGTGGAATTTCTATTTGAATTGTTGGAAAAATTTAAAACGATAAGTTGAAAATATGAAAGATGTCTTGATTTATGTCCTCTCCCATCGAAACATTTTTTTTCCCTTTCCTTATCTCCTCTCTCTCTCTCTCTCTCTCTAGGATGGGGATGGATTTATATTCTGTTTAATTTGACCATATGTTAATTGAGTTAAGTTGGTGACTTTATGGTCTCTTGTCCATTTTTCCCATGATATCTTGCTTTATTGTATAAGCTTTACATACTCCCACTTATTTGACCTCCCTATTTATTGTCTTATCATATTGCTTTATATTTCTTTGTGCAGGGCATCTGCTGAAGAAGCAATCCAAAGGATGCAGGGAACAATGATTGGTCAACAAGCGGTCCACCTTTCTTGGGGCAGGAGTCCAACACCTAAACAGGTGAATCTTCTTTTTAGACTGCTCTAGTATAGTACATTGACATGGCAGTAATGGAGGAAGGAACTAGATATCGTTCTAGGAGATGAAACAAGGACTAGATATCGTTCTAGTAGACATAATTCATTAAATCCACAAGAACAACTTTGAATCCACAAGGAAAATAAAAGAGAATCTGAAAATAATATTGATTGAATGAATAAGTTACTCATGCCATAGTCTTTACGCATGTATTTATAATAACCTAAACCTAATACATGTAGAATAGGTAATTCTAAAATAAACTAGGGAACTTTAAATTTTTTACAAACTAGGAAATCTAAGAGAATAATCCTAGTCAAATTAAATTCCGAAATAATAAAAATATAAAAATTTTGAAACTCTTGTTTTACATCATTCTTTCCCTTTAGTAAAAAAAAAAAAAAAAAAAAAACTCACCCTCGATTTACTATGAATCGAAACTTCATACGTTTGCGCTTGTGTGCATCTATCTTATAGTTAAGGAAAATCTTTTCGCATACTTGACTTTGAAAAAGTGCAACTCCTCTTGGGATGATTGTTGAATGCATATGTCCCATAAAGGATACTTGCTCCCATCTATGTGCATTCTCTCTTAGTTCTTTTAGGAAAGAACAATTCCTTGAATTCTTAAATAACTTAAGCAAGCAATTTTGGCATCTTCTTAAAAACCCTTCTTTTCATTAGTTCGGTCAAGGTTGTAAACTTTAGTTGGACAAGGCAAACAAGTAAGAGCATAGTCAAAAAGTGGTTGCACACCTTTGTTTTTAATTGCACTGCCCAATAATACAAGAACAAACTCCTGCGCTGTGGTAGCCCTCCGATTTTCCTCTGTTATTAAGCTATCAGTTGGTGAATAATTTGAACTACATAATTTGATCTCATCTTGCAATTTGGCAAATTTTTTTTTTTTTTTTGTTTGACGAATCTTCACTTTACGTAACAAGACTTCCAACTTTTGCAATAATGTCTTGCATTTTTTCTTGGTATACTTTGAAGACTTTTTCTTCATTTATTTCTTGGACACGAGACAATATAGATTTGTCTTCAAACGTAAGCCCTTCAAGGATAGTTTCGACATAAGTATTAATAGTATGGTGCTTAGGCTTGTATTTTTCCTCCAATAATGGCTCATAATTCCATGGCAAAAAATTCTCCATCATTCGCCTTTTCATTCTAGACCATGAATGAATACACACCTTGCCTTGTTGCTCTCTTGATGATTGCAAATCTAACTATCACCATAGTGCAGGACCTATAAGCTTTAATAACACATACCTCTACTTTTATTTGTTTGGAATTTTCACATTTTCAATATATATATATATATATATATATATCTAGTATCCAATCTAGAATATCTTAAAATATTCACCACCACTAAATTTAGGTAAATTTTCATGATACCTATAATCTTGATGATAAGAAAAGTCCACGAGCTTGGGTTACGACCTGTCCGAAGGCAACCATGGTTATGAATTGCCCCTCGGGAAGACCTCATTCTGACACCAATTGACACGGTGGTAATGGAGGAAGGAACTAATTATTGTTCTAGTAGACAACATGGGCTTGATATCATTTTAGATTAGATGTGATTTATTGAATCCATAGGAACAACCTTGAATCCACAAGGACAATAAAACAGAAACTCTTTGAAAATAATGTTGATTAAAAGAATGAGTTACTCATGCCTGTAGGCTCCTATGTCGGTCGAGCAAAGTTTCATCTTTTATTATCGCTAGTGTGAAATCTATGAGCTTGACCGAGGTTGGGTTGTACAGGATGACGGGTGCTTGATTGGGTTGGTTTTCTTTCCAAATTTTGACGTACAGGATGGGTGGGATGAGGCTTCAAACATGGCATCAAAGACCTTTGTGAACATCAATGTATAGACCAGTAATTGCGTAGTATAGTAAGTATAAATCAGAGCAGGCACATCACTTACGCATGTATTTATATTGAACTAAACCTAATACTTGTAGAATAAGCAATTCTAAAATAAATTAGGAAACTTAAATTAATACAAACTAGGAAATCTAAGAGAACAATAAACTAAAAATTCTAGACTATTTAACAAACTCCTAGTCAAAATCTAATAGCAAAATAATAAAAATAAAAATATAAAAATTCTGAAACTTTTGTTATGCTACATTACTCTTTCTAGGATTGTCTCTATGAGAAATTCAGCCAGAAGAATTTATCCTTTCCTACTGTTGCTTTAAATTTGATGCTCTATGTCGAAGCCAGAAAGGACATTATTAAGGTTCATGATTTTCATAAAGGTATTGACATCTTCATGATTTGACTGTTGTTTGGCAGTCATGATTGGTATGTAATGAGGTGTAATTGAAAAGACTCTTTCTTTTTGCCAAATGATGTTTCTGGTCTCTAAAAGAATATTCAGTTTATGCTAATTACTATACAATTTTTTAATACTGTGGTAGGAATTACCTGGTGTCTGGAGTCAGCAAGCAGATCCAAGTCAATGGAGCAGCACCTATTATGGTTACGGACAAGGTTATGATGCCTATGGTTATGGGACTACACATGATCCTTCATTATATGCATATGGTGCATACCCTGGTTACGCGCAGTACCCTCAACAGGTATGACGCTTTTAAAGAACATTGTTTTTTCCCTTTTGCTGGATGTGCTGTCCAGCGTGTTCCGCAACCTAGATAACATACAACTGGACTGTTTTTTGGTGCCTAATTTGTGATGAGGATATTTTAAACCATTAAACCTTGTTTTTCCTCGCATTTTTGTGATGAGGATATTTTAAGGAGAAAAGGAACTGTTCAACTCAGAATTGAGAATTTTTTTTAAACATTGGATGGCCGGAGCCAAAAAAAAAGAGGGAAACAAAAACAACTAAACTAACACCTCTTCTCATGGTTTCATTACCCAAAGCATCCCAACCAGCTACAGTTAAATTGAGAGGGGCTGTTATCTCAGTATTTGCGACCTGATTGATAGATGAGGAAATAGCTTCCTTAGCCAATAGATCTGCACATCTGTTAGCTTCTCTCCAAACCAACACCAGTTGACACTGCCATTCTTTATGCACGAGCCCTGCAATGTTATTGCAAATATTTAATTGGGTTTCATCAAGTGCAGTTGCCGAGTTGCTTTGAGAGCCTCTGCCGAATCTGTCTCAAAGACTCTCAAGTCTCAACCTAAGAAGCATGGACACGGACACACTATACGACATGGACATGCTGATATGCTAATTTTCAAAAAATGCAGGATACGATACATAGGGGACACGCATGAAATATATAATTTTATATATTTATTATATGTTATATATATATATATGAATATATCATTCAAAGAAAATAAAAAATGCAATATGACACTAATTCTTATAAATTTATATAGTTTTTGTTTTATTATTGTATCTTAAGTTGTTTTGTTCAAACTTATAAGTAGTTTCACCTGTGTCTAATTGTGTGTTTAAGCGATAGACATGTGTGTCCTCCAAGTGTCCAAAGAGTATCCGGGTCTTTAAAAAAAAATTGAAATATAGGATACGTTTTGAAGAGTATTAGACACATGTCGGGAAAGTGTCTAAAGAGTGTTGGTGTCCGATATGGACACGATATGGATATGTCACATTCTTAGTGCTTCTTAGGTCTCAACAAATACCTGATGATAACAGTTTTAGTTTTTAGATTCCTTCATTCATTAATTTCTTACTGTCCTGATAGCTAAGGGGTTTTTATTTACATGGATTAGGTGCCCTTTGCCTTTCCTTCCATCAAAAAGAGGAAATAGTCAATTTCCTGTCTTCTGTTGATGTGATCATGATCTTCCTGAAGTTCTTAATTGGGTATCAGGTGTGGAACAACCAGGATTTTTCATGGTCACCCTTCCTTGACTCAACACCTTTTATGTTTGTTAGTTTTTTTAAAAAAACCTGAACCTTCATTTATCATCCTTTTATGTAAGGACCTAATATTAATAACTTCTGCTTCAGTATCTAACCAGTATCTACAAAATTGTGGCCGAAATTGTGGCGCCAAGACCAAGAAACTTATCCCAATTTCAGATGACCAGATAGCTTCTTAGGGAGGCAAATCCCATATTTCATGTGGAATTGCAGTTGGTGAATCCTGAAATTGTCACGACCCCATTCCGCCCCTAGTAGAATGGTGCCATGATGGCCAGTAATCCGAGATTACCAAAGGCCAACTTATAAAGATTCACACAATCAGAGTATATTTATATGTGTTAAAATTGTAATATTATTGATTGATTGATTACAAGATTGTTGTGTATTTTGTACAAAAATGCCTATTATATAGGAGATGATTCTGGAGTAGGTGAGGAGTGAGTGGTGGAGAGTAGGTGAAGTGGAGGTGGTAGTGGTGTAGTGGGTTAGGTTTAGTGGAGTAGGTGAGGTGGTAGTGGTGGTAGGTTTATGGTAAATTCTAACAGCCCCCCGCAAACTCAAGGAGGATAGAAACTAACCAACTTGAGTTTGAAGAGAGGAACAAAACAAGAAAATACATAAAAATAAAAGATTTTCATATGTAAAATGTCCGCTGGTGTAGTGCCCAATTTATGAATGAAAATTTCATATGCTTCAAAGATATTTCTTGTATTGTTTTGTTGTATGAGTAGACAATTAGGAGAATCAGTGGTTAGGACAAAATTCCAAGACTACGTGAGACGGCAGACTTACAAACCGACTGAGCTTAGCGATCTGATTAAAACAATGAATCTGCCCTTGCCCCAGCGAGTTCGCGATCGTAGAACGCCGAATAACACGTCCATAAGAACCTTGTTGTTGAGGCATCGATCGGGGAACGGCTGGGGCCCTTAAGCCGACTAGATTGATGAATCTGCCCTTACCCCAGCCGGTGTTCGCGATCGTGTAGAACGCCGAATAACACGTCCATAAGAACCTTGGTTGAGGCATTGATTCGAGAACGGCTGGGGCACTTAAGCCGACTAGATTGAGGAATCTGCCCTTGCCCCAGTGGGTTCGCGATCGTAGAACGTCGAATAACACGTCCATAAGAACCTTGTGTTGAGGCATCGATTCGGGGAACGGCTGGGGCACTTAAGCCGACTAGATTGATGAATCTGCCTTTACCCCAGCGGGTTCGTGATCGTAAAACGCCGAATAACACGTCCATAAGGACCTTGTGTTGAGGCATTGATTCAGGGAACGGCTGGGCACTTAAGCCGACTAGATTGATGAATCTGCCCTTGCCCCAGCGGGTTCGCGATCGGAGAACGCCGAATAACACGTCCATAAGAACCTGTGTGGAGGCATCGATTCGGGAACGGCTGGGGAACTTAAGCCGACTAGATTGATGAATCTGCCCTTGCCCCAGCGGGTTTGCGATCGCAGAATGCCGAATAACACGTCCATAAGAACCTTGAGTTGAGGCATCGATTCGGGAAACGGCTGGGGCACTTAAGCCGACTAGATTGATGAATCTGCCATTGTCCCAGCGAGTTCAGATCGTAGAACGCCGAATAGATGCGATTGGGGTGTATGATTCGTTCGGCGCCGGGTAGTTGGCGCTTCAACATTGAGGGGATTGCTCGGAATGTGCTGCCGTAGGAATAAATGGGCGTGTACTTCGTGAACGAGGGTCCTATTTATGTGCTCATTCAGCATTTCAGTCCAGCTGTTTGAGGAAGATTGAACAAGCGCAAATGTCAAATAAACTTTTCTTCAACAACAGGGGCGAAACGAAGACTCTAGCTGAGCTGGAGGAGCTATGAGTCGAAGTGGTGAACCTTCACGCACGGGCAGTAGGACTTCGAGGGATCGGGAGAGGCGCCAATCTCCTCGTCGTCGAAGTAGGTCGCCCAGGAGGACAAACAGCCACAGCGTAAGTCTCCTCAGCTGGTTCCGGCAGGCAACCTGACGCGACTCCTCGCCCATTGAGTTTTGCAGTCTTCGTGGGTAATAGACCAATGACAGAGGCGGACTCGATCATATCGATATCCGAATGTGGCAGTCGAGTTTGCTCGACAGATTTTCCCGCCCGAAGTTCAGCAGTGAGATTAGGTCGACAGGATTTCGAAGTGTTTCGTGAGGGCGTTCATGGGGCGGCGAGGGACTGTACACGGCTTATGAGATCAGCATGCGTCTTCGCGCCGCTTGCGCGACATAGAACAGAGAGATGAACGCATTCGGAAGTTAGAAGCTCGCGCCGAGAAGCCCGAGCGCGAGCTAAGGAAAATCAAGTCTGGCGGCCCCAATCAACCAGCCACCCCAATCTGGTTGTTGAAGAGAGGGTTACTCAGGTGATTAGCGATGCGATTGCCGATCGTAATACAACTGGCATGTTCGCCGATCGAGACTGGAGGGGTACGGCCTATAAAAAAGGCTTCCATGACGGCCGAAAGGTCGGAATTCAGAAGACCAAGGAGAAACTCGCCGAAGAAGTTTGTCGATGTGAAAATCGTGGATTTAGGCACGGTTAGATCAAGGCGCTTCGGCAAGTTTGTGAGTCTCCAATCGGGAGGGTTGGATTCGGCGTTTCCGTTGTATCAACAGTGATGATTTTCCCTTCTCCGCATTCGAAAATTGAGAAGAGCAAATGACGAAGAAGCCGCCGAACCCAAGAAATCCTGTGTAATGCTTACGTAGATTGAAAGTGAAATTATGTATTTATTCGCCAATTTAATAAATGCTTAGTTTTCATCTGTAGCGTACTTGTTATTTATATTAGTACTCATTTTATTCCAACTTTGGCTTCGTTGAAAATTTTATTCGGTACACGCGTATTTTCTGCGGAGGCCATTTTGGCCTGAAGGCGTCATGCGCCGATGGGCTCCGAATCCGGAGGCTTTTTCGGCCCAAAGACATCATGCGCTGATGGGGCTCCGACTACGAAGACAGTCGGCCCCATCTATAATTTCTGTTTATATAATTAAGCCATTTTAATAAGGCAGAAATTAGTGCATGAAGTGGCTGTGGCACGTATCGATCGGCATGAGGCCAAGATGCTCGTCGGTTAGATTAATAAATCTGCCTTTGCCCCAACCAGTACATGGACTTCAAGGCATTCGCCCATAATTGCCGTTTATATAATTTAGGCTGTTTTAACAAGGCAAAATTAGTGGCATTGAGTGGCTGCGGCAAATGTCGCTTGTGTCTGTCGTTTGGAGTTCAGTGTTAATGAAATCGCCTCGGGGCCACTGCAAAGATTTTAGAAACAAAATGCCTCGGATTTGTCGCTCCAGTGACTTCGTTTCTGTGCACAGACTCGTTTTAGAACGATTTTGTTGCGTGGGGTTACATAAGTGTGATCGTCGAATGGGGCTTTTCTTCAGCAGGGAAGAAGGTTGGAGTCTGGTTGAGTCTGATATTGCGACGAATCGCAGCGGGGAAAACACGCGCACGGGAGGCAGGGTGCTCAAGAAACATCAGCCTTTAAATCGTCAAAGCAGATCACCTCGAAAGGAGAACAGCGATGGCGAAGTTGTCCACAACCGCGGCCAAGAAATGGGGCCGACGTAGCTCTGCGGCCGTTGAGGAGTACTGTTTTCGTTGGCGAATTCCTTTCTTGTCTTGGATCTTGGCCTTGACATTGTCTATGGTGCCAAAGGTTTCCACCTCAAAGGGCGATTATCTCGTTGGGGTGAATCGTGGACTCGAGCAATGGTCAGGTCAAAGCATTTCAAGT